AAGCTATTTTCTACCCAAAGCTCTACAAAGATTCCTCCTTTCACTCAGAGTAAAAGCCAAAGCCCTTACAATGGCCAGCAAGGCCCTTGTCACCTCTCTGAACCCCTCCCTACAGCTCTCCTGCTGCTCCTTCTGCTCTGGCTACTCTGGCTTTTTTGCTGTTCCCTGAATTCACATGCATACTCTTGCTGTATGGCCACGATTCTGAAAACTTCTGCTCTTCCCCAGATGCCTGCAGGCAGACATCTAAGACTTTGCTCAAATCTCACTTTCTCAACAAGGCCTATAAGACTATCCCCACTCCTACCCTTGATTCCTTTTCCTGATTTCTTGCTCATGTGAGAGTCCAGTGTGAACTGGAAGAGGGGCTCTGATCCATGAATTCAGGGCCCCAGCCTCCTTTCATCTAAGGACTCTGCCTCTGTTAACTAACAGAGATCCTTTCATTTGGGCTGGTGTAAATAGGGAGTGGGAAGGGCAAAGATAGAAAGAATGGAGAAGACACACCTGCTTTAAACTACCTTGACCCACAAGTAACACACATGACTTCCAAACAAATTCCATTGGTAAGAACTAGCCATATGGCCCATATGGCTACAAGAAGGATGGCTACATAATCTAGTTATATATCCAGAAGAAAAGGAAAACACGGATACTGGTAAGGACTTCTAATCACTAAATATCTTTCTGCTCACTTTCACTACACAAAGAACACACTCAAACCTCTCCCACCGCCCAGAAGCAAACCTGAAGTCCCATTTAGTCGGCACATCTAACTACAAGTGCAGGACGTCTGGCTCTGGCAGTTTCCTTCATCAAGACCACGTGCAGCTCCTTAAGACACAACCTATGAACTGAAAAGGCGTGTTATTTGCACCTGTTCTCCCCAGTCCCAATATAAAAGAGTGGGACAGGAGGAGAAGGTTCTTCCTTATCAAATATTCTCCTTGGCCATGTGGGCTCTGGCACGCCCTCCTGAGGGGCCGTAAAACCTTCATAACCCACCTCTTTCCAGGGCAAGTTCTGGGTCCTTAAAAAGTGATTTTATAGCTGTAATAGTCAGGCTCATGGTTCCATTGCCAACAGAATTCCCTCAAAAACTTAGCAGGCCTTTGATCTATTTGTTTCCAGTCGGTTCCATGTGCCAGTAACCACACACAAAGTTCTTCCCCAGACATGCCTCCATTCCTCTTGCTTTCAACTAACAGAAGCCACCTGGAAGCCACATGAAACAATAGGTCAGCAGTTTCCAACTCTGGCTGCAAAACAGAATCTTGGCTGCAAAACAGAACTTTCAAAAACTGCCTGTGTCCGGGTTTCATGTACCCTGGACCCATTAAATCAGAAACTATGAAGGTGGGAGCAAGATGATTCTGATGAGTAGCCAGTAAGAATTACACTTCATCTGATCTTTGCCACAGGACTGTCACATTTTTTTTTCAACTGAGAACACTTACTAGGTCTTTGATGCTCAAAACCTCTCTCAACTCTTATCTCTTGCTCTCTAGAAATAGTCTGTTTTTCCTTTCACTGCCCCAACTCTCAGAACTTTCTCTATTCCCTTTCATTTCTTGCTTGAAAGCTAGCCAATTCTTTCCTAAGCTCATCTCTTTCATGTAATACCTTACCAATAAGAGTCAACACATACTCTGACCTTTTCCAACGTTTGACCTAGAGTTTGCTTGGCATGAAGCAAGTCTTCCAAGTTATCATGGATGACAAATTTACCAAACTGGTCACCACTGCAGAACTTGGGTTTCTGTCTTTCCCAACTCCAACATCAGTGTCCTCATCAGCGTGCTACCTGACTGCTAAGCCAACGGAACAAATGTTAAGGTTTTGTTTTAACAGAATTCCACTTCCAGTACCAACCACTGTAGCAAAAACTAAAACCTCAGTAGCTTAACACAGAGTTTCTCCCTTGCTTCCATCAGAGTCACACAGGTTGGCAGGATATTCCTGTCCACCCATTGTTCAAGGACCCAGTTTCCTTTCATTTTATGGTTTCACCCTCTCTGGGTCCTAATGAAATTCTCTCCATTAAGCTGCTAGAGAGGATAGAAAAGGCACCCAGTTATTAACTGTCTTGTTCTGGGAAGACATATATCACTCTGATCACATTCCACTGGTAACAGCTATTCACATGGTCCTTTTGGGTACAGTGGGGCTGAGAAATGTAGTCTAGATGTGTGCCCAGCAAGAACAGGAAAACAGTGATGTTGATGAGCCCTAGTGGTCTCTTTAACACCCTTAAAATTTAAGCTCCACCAAGGCAGGAATCTTCATCTAGTTTGTTCATAGATGTATCTCACAAGCCTCCTACAGAGTGCCTGGGACATAGCAGATGCTCAAAATATATCTTTTGAATAAATAATGAATGGACAGAATGAATTACAGGTATGGCACCATATGGCATTTTTTTCTATAATAAAGACAAAAGAATGGATTGATGAATAAAAGAATGGTGAATTATACTGCATAGTTACTTAGATAAAACATTAAACAGAACTTTTGGAAAAATCAAAATAAATTTCCAAGCACCAACACTACACATATCAAATCTACAATGCAAATTCGTATACAAACTGGTTAAATGCACACTAAATTCATCTGTTGTGAACACAGAGAAACATTCATTCAAAATTTTAGTACAAACACAGTGGACAAACTTCATAGAAATTACTATTAAACTGATTACACATTTTTTTGTTAGGTGGAAATTTCTTTACCCATGACAGCCTCAAAATTCATCCATATCTTCCTCAAAGAACAAGGGCACTGCACACAGAGTCCTAGTCTTAAAAACAAGTCACACACAGACACGTAAAAGACCTTACCAATATGCATCTACCATCATAATGCAAATACTCATCAAAATTCAGAATTAATACATTTATGATACCAGCCTCAAAATTATGCATGCTGGTAATACTTGATTTTTCCTGAACTCTTAAGTCACTATAACAAAAATAAATTAATAAACTAGAAAAAATAACAAAGCTGAAATAAAAGTAACAATAAATGGCAATAAGACTTACTTCACAAGAGTGTTGTGAGGATCAAACAGAAATATAATAATTCACTTGTGATTTCTGTACTTTCCTTTATGTATGTTATAGACCAACAGCGTATATGAAAAACTGCTTTGTAAATCATAAAGCAATATTCAAACCGTCACTTATCTTTAAATAAATATAAAATTCCCATTTCTATAAGGGTTTTAAATTAGCTAAATGAGCAAGTTCAAAGTAAGGTGAAAAAGAAGTTCCTCATCCTCCTATAGCCCCAACATCTAGAAAGAGAACTTTCAGTAGGTACATTCCAGAGAATCCAATCATTATGAAAGGTAATAAGGCAAAGAGCTTTCTCAGTGTAAAGAGTTAGACTCTAAACAAAAAACAGTTGAAAAATATTAATAAGTCATTAACACAGTGGGATACTTGTACTTTAAGAAGAAGAAAAAGTTAACAATTTGAAAATCTATAAATTCTCTCTAGTCAATGAAAAAGAGAATAAACTACTGGGTTTTATTTTTTGTTTTCCCTTTGCTTGTTTAAAAAATTTAAAATAATGACTCCTCAACCAAAAGAAATATTGGAATTTACAACATAAGACCCAGGATAGGAGGTTCAGTTTAACAAAATTTTATGGGTTAGCTGTAACTGAAAAGCCATCTAATAAAAAATTATCTCTAACACATTATCAGAGATGTAGGAAGTAAAGTATACACTTAATTAAAGTTTGTTTCTTGTTTTTAACTAATCCCTGATATATACTTACTTGTTTTTTTCTTGGTTGAGTTTTAAGACGGTTAACTAGGAAAAAAAAGAAAATAGAAAAAAAAATCCTGTTTATTGAAGCTTTCTAATACTTAAAGGCTAGCAGGATGACCGGGCTTAAGAACCTAGATCCTGAATTATACTTATGACCCTATATATTTTTCTACCTTTTAGCGAAGCAACCAACCAACAAACAAAAGCTAGAGGAAAAGGATTTAAAGCAAGGCTATAGCAATTTAGGAAATAAAAATACGACATTTTTTAAACTCTGGAAATAAACTGAGAGAAGGGAAGAAAAAATGATTGATGCTAAACTTGTTACATGATTTATAAACACCACAGAAAAATCAGATATTGACCTCTACCCAAAAACTGTTATTTAAAAGATTGCTTTTGAAAGTAAAGACATCAGTGTGGCAATTGTAAATACAGTATCTACCCAACTTTAGAGAGGTAAAAATTTAACTCCTTCATCTCATGCAGCTTTCTCTGCAACATTTAAACCCTATAAGCATGAATAAAGTTTGCTTGAAAAAAAGCGCTTTAAATCTTCCTTAAAGCTCAGAGAGTAAGTCTTCTGGGGTGGGGGTGGTACCCCCTTGTACAATTTTAAAAGAAGACACTTTTCGGGCTTCCCTGGTGGCGCAGCGGTTGAGAATCTGCCTGCCAATGCAGAGAACACAGGTTCGAGCCCTGGTCTGGGAGGATCTCACATGCCGCGGAGCAACTAGGCCCGTGAGCCACAACTACTGAGCCTGCGCGTCTGGAGCTTGTGCTCCGCAACAAGAGAGGCCGCGACAGTGAGAGACCCGCGCACCACGATGAGGAGTGGCCCCCACTTGCCGCAACTGGAGAAAGCCCTCGCACAGAAACGAAGACCGAGCACAGCCCAAAATAAATTAATTAATTAATTAATTAAAACAAAAAAAAAGAAGACACCTTTCACTGGGAAAGGGAGCACTGCAACATTCCATTTTACTGAATAAAAGGGACCACGCCAAATGTCATAATATCTCCATCTCCTAGAACTTTAAAAACTCTCCTTTTCAAATCAAGTGATGAAGCACAACGTATCTGCAAGCCCCATCATAAATGTAAGGGTTAATATTTTATGACACCACATCCTTATTTGACAGGCATCTATCAGAAAAGTGGCCCTGGTGCTATTACAGATGAAACAGATAACCGCTGGGGACACAGACTGAGACACAAAGCAGTTACCCAAGAGGAATGCTCCTTCATCTGGTGCTGGTTGCTGTGAGGGCCATCGGCATGGCCACGCCAAAAGCAATTTTGGCAGAGCTGGTAGTTGTGGCACTGCTGGCATCGGTACCGGAAACCCATCATACTCTCACACCGGCAATAGGAGCACTCCACAGGGTGGAAGACTTGAGGGATGAGGGCAGGGAGGAGACGGGACCAGAGGGAGAAAGAAGTCATTTTCATTTGGAGAATAAAGTCAGTACAGTGGAAAACCAAATTTAACACAAAAGCAAAGGTGAAAACAAAACTAGAAGTGAAGAATCTAAATTGTCTTCAATTTAGTTAATCTAACCACTGGAATAAAAAGAAAATAACAAAATTTTCCATTTAGAATAGATTACAATCCACCTTAGAAAACAACCAATTTCCTTCTTTAAAATGACATTCGTGTCTCAAAGTTTAGGTAAATAAACCAGTAAGGAGGAGAGACACCCTCATTCCAAAATTTCTCTTCCAAACCTATTTGTTTTAAGAGATGTATATTGTTAGTTGTGGACATATGTTTCCTTCACTAACACAAAATCTGTGAGAGCCAGTATGACATGCTTTATGTCTCTGCTACCTGCAAGTGGTATTTCACACAGTCCTTTGGACTGAAGGCCTCCAAATGGTTGCTGAACTAAATACTACAGGGACTTCCCTGGCAGTCCAGTGGTTAAGACTCCGAGCTTCCAATGCAGGGGGCACTGGTTCGATCCCTGGTTGGGGAACTAAGATCCCACATGACACATGCACAGCCAGTAAACAAATAAATAAATAAATACTACTACATACCTGGGTGCAAAAGGTAACTGGTAAAAAAAATAAAATAAAAAATAAGACTACCATATCAAAATACTAGTTTTAGGTAAGAGCTCCAAGTATTGGCATAAAATAAGGTACTCTAACCAATGAAGGGGCAGTGATTTGGAGAGAGGGAAACTCGGGTGACCTGAGACTCCTTTCTCCACCTCACACAGCATCTTACCTCATGAAAAACTGCCAGATGGCAGCCAGGATTTATAGGGGTTACTGGGATTCTCTTATAGCCTGCAAGTCCAGTTTACTCAGTGGAAGTGGGCAATAAATGCACAACTGTATATTACAGATTGTTATTTATACTTTTAAATGTTGATAGCACGATTGCTCCCTCTGGCAATTCAATTCTGAACACAAGAAATGGAAGTCAAAGGAAAGAGGGATATAATATTCAAATCTTCATTTGAACAACTCTTCCTAGCACTGTGCATACAAAGGCAGTGTTGTCTCAATTATAAGGATTTTTAGTCCTACTTCCAAAAATGCATATTAACTAACGAATCAAGTCTGAAAACAAACAAACAACAACAACAAAACCTGAGCACTAGGTGAGAAAAATAATACAACAAGATCATTAAAGAATAACAGAAAACTAAAATCTGGAATGAGAAATCCAAAGGACATACCTCCTCTAAGGAATTTAAATTTTTGTTATCAAAATATTTCTAAGGAATAATGAAAGTGTTAATCACATAAGAATATAATTTATAAATAATATACTACATACAAAGTCACAACAAAATGTTCATATGGGTAACACTAGATCTCGACAAATGAGATCCTCTCTACTTGGGATAGCAGATATAAAATGATTTTATGAAAATGAGCTGGATATGAAACTACAAAAACATTTAGTGCTATAAAGGTATTGTCCCTCAAAAGAACCAACACTGTAATAATTTAACAGCATAAATCTCTATCCAAAAACCCTGTTTAAAAATTTAGCTGTTTGGGCTTCCCTGGTGGTGCAGTGGTTGAGAGTCTGCCTGCCAATGCAGGGGACATGGGTTCGTGCCCCGGTCCGGGGGGATCCCACGTGCCGCGGAGTGGCTGGGCCCATGAGCCACAGCCGCTGGGCATGCGAGTCCGGGGCCTGTGCTCCGCAGCGGGAGAGGCCACAGCAGTGGGAGGCCCGCGTACCGCAAAAAAAAAAAATTAGCTCTTTTAGTCTACTCAAGATATTCCAGGACTTTAGGAAAATAATCTTGAATCTAAGGACTTGTGAACTAAAGCCATGACTGGGTGAAAGGCTGAGAAGTTTAAAAAAAAAAAAGGTATGAGTAGGAGGGAGAGAAAATAAAAAGAGTATGGTAGCATTCTCTCATTCTTACAAAATGAAAAAAGAGGACTCTGTTTTTAGGGCCCCTCAGCTATCACTCTTTCTCTTTTGTGGAATGAGGAGAGACAGGCAAGAGCCTTGAAAGAAGGGAGCTTCCAGAGAAAAGCTAGGACCTTTCCTTTAATGAACTCAAACAACCTAAACAAGGAGATAAACTGATAGCAATAGCAGAAAAACCTAAGTAGTTACTAAGAGATAAGTACCATTTCAATTTCAAGTGAAACAAAGATTTAAGTCAAACTACTTGGGAAGGATACTGAGAGTAATTCAGTAGTAAAGGAAAAAACTGAATATGGGTGAAACCCAGTACCAAATTCTATCTTGGCTATTTTCCTTTAAACTACTCCAAAATTTTATAGTTTTAGTGGTTGATATTGAATATATAAATTTTTTTGGAGTTATGCTTTCTATAAACTAAAGGAAAACAAGGAAGTCATTGCTAAGTCAGGTGGGTTTAAGCAGAAAACAACCATCTGGAATCTTGGGGGAAAAGCCTGGAGTTTGAACCACAAAGTTTTCTGACCAGATATTACTACCTCTTGGTATCCTATCTAAGTAATAAGTCCTCCCTCCTTTTTTTTTTGAGAAATAAATATTCCTCTTTTGGAAGCTAAAGCCACAAATTCAAATGATGGAGTGCCAGCAAATGGCAACTATAATTTTCAATGATAATAACTAAGGACAGTACAAATACTGTCAGTTCATATACTTCCTATAGCACCGGGAGCTGAATGATAAAAGTTCTGCTTACCATTCTCAACGTGGGCAAGCCTATGCATGAGAGGTAGCCAGACAAGGCACTGGGGAGGAGGATCGGCCATCATGGTGTCTAAAAACGTATTTAGCATGATCTTTTTCTGTGAAGAGAAAAAAAACAAATATACTTCATATTTTTCAAATATCTCTGAACGCTAAGATTAAGTTAACTTAGGATTCTCCCAACCAAGTTGTAATGAATTACATGGGAAATTTTATAGCAAAATAAATAATATTTTGCATTACTACAGACACTGCTACACACTATCCTATATACTACTGCTATATTCAAATGCATTTCCACTTACATTATTTTATTTGAGTCTTAAAACAACTGTATAAGACAAATAGGCTAGGATGGAATTACTATGTTGTACACCTGAAACTAATATTGTAAGTTAACTATATTTCAATAAAACATATGAAATGAAAAAAGATAAATAGGCTAGGTATTACTATCTTCATTTTATAGATGAGATAATAAAGGAATGACACATTTAAATGACTTGTAAAGGTCCTACCAAAATCAGGACTACAACTCAGGTGTCCTTCAAATGACTATTTCTGAAGAATTCTGAAGGAAAGTCTCAGATCCAGGACAGAGACTGCAGGCCAGTACTGAATGGAGGGAGGGAAAGGTTCTCACATATATGTAAGAGGGCTAAATGAGGGTCATAACAGTAGGAAGTTACTGTCCAAAGGTCCTTATACACAGCTATGCATTGATGGTGTAGTTTGAGAAATGCCTACTCGAATATGCCAAATAAAGTTTTCCAAAGTGTTTTCCATCTCAGGCATCAAAGTTACTAATGTTTCTGAGATTTCAGTGGAATCTGGGAGGAATGCATGAGCAACGTTAAAAATAAAAACAGAAAGTCACCCAGCATTTGAATGGAGATTCAGACATGGAAAATGCCTCTTATAATGGATATGCAAATAACTGCAATAAACCAAAATGAAATTAAAAGTGTCTACTTAAAATTGAGAAAGAAGATGCTAGGAAGTTTTTAGCTAGTCAGAGGTGGTTAATATACGTTTGTAATTATATCACATCATAAATGTAATGTTTAATGTTTCTGTATCATCTTATATCTGTTAAAAATTACACTTTTACAAATCCACTTATAATCCTAATGCTACTTTCCCTAAAAGTTTTGATTCACCTATCATGGAGTTTTGTGTGGTTTTTTAAATCTTCAAGATGAAAAGGAATTGTACTTGATATCTCAGAACTCCCTCATAAGTACGCTCAGGATCAGTTTCCAAAAGTTGTCCTAAGTCATACTATAATTTAAGTCCTCCAAAAGCATGAGGAATGAAACCAGAAGAACTGTGTCCCAGTGCTCTGTCTTCCATTAACTACGTGATTGGGGGGAAATCACCTAACATTCTGGTTTCAGTTTTCTTATCTCTCAAGGGCTAGAGCAGTGGTTCTCGAAGTATGGTCAGAGGTCCCCCTGCAACGTTCCTAAAACATTTCCAAGGAGCCCAGGAGGTCAAAACTATTTTCATAATAATACTAAGACATTATTTGCTTTTTTCAATCTGATTCTCTCATGACTGTACAGTGGAATGTTCCAGAGGCAACGTGGCATATCCACAATTATCTGCAAAAGCTTTTAAAATATTCCTCCCTTTTCCAACTACACAGCTGTCTGAGACCAGATTTTCTTTCCATACTTTAACCAAAACAACATATCACAACAGACTGAATGGATAAGCAGATATGAAAACCCAGCTGTCTTCAACTGAGCCAAATATTAAAGAAATTTGCAAAAAATATAAAACAATGGCATTCTTCTCATTAAATTTTTTTGCTTTGGAATATCTACTTTTCATAAAATATATTATTTATGTTAATATGTAATCGGTTTATCATTGTTCTTTTTAAATGATTTAATATTTTATAATTTATCAGTTTTGATTTCTAATATGGAAATATTGATAGGTATAACTCATATAAACAAAAGCTCTCTGGGGTGCTCAAATATTTTCAAGGGTGTAAAAAGGTCCTGATACCAGAAAGTTTGAGAACTTACGGGACAGAATTCCCAGCTCTAAAATTCCGTGACTCAGTAAATAACTATGTGAAAGACAGACTCTTTCACTCTTTTCTTCTACCTTTTTGTTTTGTTTTATTTTGGTTTTGCTCCTGAGTTGAACACATTCTTTGCATTTCTCTTCATTTTTTACAACAGAATATTTATAACAAAAACTATAATAAAACTGTAAGTAATGAATATTCTTGCCACAATTCTCATTTTTCTGTATTTCCCTCCAAATGCATGTTTCTATATAATTATGTACATAGGGTATATAAAAATATATAATCTGTCTTTCCACTTAATATTTTTTCTTTTTTTAATAAATTTATTTATTTATTTATTTATTTCTGGCTGAGTTGGGTCTTTGTTGCTGCGTGGGGGCTCTCTCTAGTTGTGGCGAGTGGGGGCCACTCTTTGCTGCCATGCGTGGGCTTCTCATAGCGGTGGCTTCTCTTGCTGCAGAGCACAGGCTCTAGGCGTGTGGGCTTCAGTAGTTGAGGCACATGAGCTCTGAAGCACAGGCTCAATAGTTGTGGCGCCCAGGCTTAGCTGCTTCGCGGCATGTGGGATCTTCCCAAACCAGGGCTCGAACTCGTGTCCCCTGCATTGGCAGGCAGATTCCCAACCACTGTGCCACCACGGAATCCCCCACTTAATGTTTTATTAAATACTTTATGTTTTGCTACAAGGTCTTCTTTTCTAATCATTTTAACAGCTGCCTCATCCACTGAGCAAAAACACCATGATTTATTTATGCTTTCCTCAATAAAACATTGAGCCTGTTTTTATCTTTGTATGCACTCTCATATTTTTCTTAGAAACCAGTGTTTCTGTTTGCTGTCTACTTCCCCACGCTTTGTTATTCTGATCATCAATACTGACAATTATTTGTCTAGATGCCATTTGACTTCCCTCCCTCCACTCTTGGCTACGACTTTCCTGTTTAAAAAGAGGGGAGAGGGCTTCCCTGGTGGCGCAGTGGTTGAGAGTCCGCCTGCCAATGCAGGGGACACGGGTTTGTGCCCCGGTCCGGGAAGATCCCACATGCCAAGGAGCGGCTGGGCCCGTGAGCCATGGCCGCTGAGCCTGTGCGTCCGGAGCCTGTGCTCTGCAACGGGAGAGGCCACAACAGTGAGAGGCCTGCGTACCGGAA